GGTGAGGCGTTTCACTCCCAGGGTAGCTGCGGCCTTCAAGCCCGCTATTAAACCTTCATACTCCGCTATGTTGTTGGAGACCTTTTCACCTTGCTGGAAACAGAGCTGCATAGCGTAGTAGAGATTGTCCTGAGTGGGCGATATAAGCACCGCCCCAGCCCCAGCGCCATGCCTGGAGAACGCCCCATCGAAGTACATGACCCAGCCTTCTGGCGCCTTGCTTCCCGGGGAGAGGGACCGATCCTCGTCTGCCTTGAGGCCTGGTGCCTCCGTCCATTCTGCCACAAAATCCGCCAACGCTGCTCCCTTGATGACTCTGGTCGTGCTGAATTCGAGCTGAAACGCTTGCAGTTCTATGTTCCACTCAGCGACCCTTCCAGTTGAGTTAGGGCTCCTGGGCACTCTCTCCAGGGGGTATGACGAGACGACCTTGATGGGGTGACCCTGAAAGTAGTGCCGCAGCTTGCACGAGGCCACCAGTAGTGCGAGGAGGAGTTTCTGAGGCATGGGGTACCGTGCCCTCGCATCCCGCAACGCCGTGCTGACGAAGTATACTGGGTGCTCAACGAGGTTGGGTGCGTCAGTGCTGGCGGCTCCCTTCGAAGACCATGGCGCCTCTTGAGGCGATGAGGCCTCCTGAGACTGGCCATCTGGGAGAGGGGCCGGGGGGCGCATGTTGGGGTACACGTTGAGGTGATGCTCGATTACACTCCTAGGGATACCTGTCAACTGGTCGGGCTCCCAAGCGAATACCTTCTTGTTTGCGCGTAGGAACCCGACCAGGGCCTCCTCCTGCTCGGGTTCGAGGTTGGCGCCTATGGTGAAAGTGGCGTTGGTGGACCCGTCCTCATCGACAGGTATCTGCTTGGTTTCTGCCTTGTCTTGGGTGAACAACTATTTCTTCTTGGCGGGTGTAGCCCCCTTGGGCTCGGGGGTCTCCAAGTCGGCGGGCTGTGCCGACGCCGCCGTCTTGAAGGCGAGCTTGAGCACCCGCAGCGCGTCTCCGGTGTCCCCGTGCACGGTGAGGACACCGCTGCTCCCGGGCATCTTCATGAGGTTGTACGTCGGGTGCGTCGCGGCCATGAACTGGGCCAGCGCTGGGTAGCCGAGGATGGCTTGTAGGGGAAGCTGATGGGGGCGATGTCGAAGTCGACCAGCTCCGTGCGGAAGTTGTTGTAGGTGCCGAAGGTTACTGGGAGCCGGATCTGTCCCAAGGAGCTGGATGATCCGCCCCCAACGCCTGAGAAGGGCCGGCTGGGTTGCAGCCGTTCCAGGGGTATGCAGAGGAGGTTGAAGGCCTCGAACGAGAGCACGCTGAGGCCCGCACCGCCATCAATGAGAGTTCTGGTGACGGCCACCTGGTAGATGGTGGGGGTGCACAGCATTGGGAGCGCACCCGAGCAGGCCGAGTTGGAGGGGTGGTCCTCCGAGCTGAAGGTCAGGCCGGTCTCAGGCGCCGCCCGGTCCGGGAGAGCCCCCTGCCGCGTGGAAGCGGCGCTGACCCGGCGGATGAACGACTTGACGTGGTGACTTGTAGGAGGCGCCTGCGAGCCGCCCAAGAGGGCCGCGACGACCGGGGGTGTTGGTGTAGCGCGATGGGCGGGGAAGAGGCTGCGGGGCTCTTCCCGAGAGGCCACGGAGGCTGCCGGCAGGTGGAGCAGCCATGTGCGTAGAGCGTCGGTGAGGGCCATGGGGAGCCAGTTGGCCACGACCCTATCGTCACCTCCGGCTTCGAGGAGGGCCTCCTCGCTCGCCAGCAAGAAGGCCAGCGGGTCTGTCACGCCGCCGTAGCGCGGCTGCGTCGTTGGCTTGAACTTGTCCGGCCACCGTACTCGTTGCAGGGCTGGGGCCAGGGCTCGGAGCCCCCTGGCCCCCTTGCTGGCGCCGGCGGCCGGAGCGGGCGATGCGCTACTCATCGCGAGGCAGGTCGTGGCGGTGGCGGAAGAGAAAACTCTGGCACACCCCTACCTGGCACGCCAAATGTCGGATTTCAGGTTCCGGCAGACCCTTGAGGTTCGAACACTGGGGTGCACGTGGAGATTTCACCTCCTACCTACCTGCACCCCTCTGCCTCACTAAGATCTAAGCTATGGAAAGAACAACACAAGAGACACTGGGTTTATACTGGTTCGGGCCACCGTTGTGGTGTAATACCCTACTCCAGTGTGTGGTGTGGTGGATTGCCTCTTGGGCTGATGGTGATGAACAATACAAGGAAGAACAGCCTCGCGAGGGTCTGTTCTTGGCTGGGGCGATGAACTGCTGGGAGGAGTCCAGTCACCCTTCTCTCTCTCTCTCTCTTCACAACTGATGATGCCTCTCTCAAAAACCTCTAACCTCTCACCCCCCTTTTTTCATCCTGCGGGTGGCTGGTCCTATTTATAGAGGCCCTGGTCCTCTTCCCAAATATCGAGCAGGAAGGGAGCCAACAATGGCGGGCTAATTTGAAAGGGGACAACTAGTACCAGTTATCCTGACAAAAGTATTCTTCGCCTGCACAAAGCTCTGGTGGTGACGCCGTCTTGGGCTCCACAATGACCTCCGTCTTGCAGTCCTCCTGGTCTTGGTCTTGTTGCACCGAAATGGCAACCTTTGCCTGATGCCTCGGTACTCCACGGCTGCGCTTGCCCCCTTTGCACCAAAGGGGAAAGGAGGACACTGCACGGGCTGGCACCCGCCTGGCGCCCTTGGTCGTCATGTCTTGCGTCACAGGCACCTCGTGAGGTACCCCGCCTTGATCTCTCCGCCTCCTCGCGAGCCAGCCTGATGAGGCCATGCCTGAGGAAGCTCCACGTCGTCCGCCCCGCGAGGCTTGGCCCCTCGCGAGGGTCTTGGGTCTGTGTTGGTGAAGATGCGTCGTGCTGGGCCCCCCTTTGAGCCACACCGCAGGCCGCAGGCAGGCAAGTCTGGGGACCCCCGTTCCCAGAACGCCGACAGAGTCATCATCCTCTTATTAAAAAGCACCAGTTGGAGAGCACTGCTGTTATTTGCATCCATTACTGTTAGTTTACATTGAGTATGAGTTGACTGGATCTCTTTTACCATGAATTATGATGTCTAGTAAGTCCTTGATCTTTAAAGGTGCTCTGCATTTATGTTTTGCGGTCTCAGAAAGGGTTAGCGAGATACCATCTTGTTATATCATACTATGATTGTTTTGAGAAAGTGTTGTCATCCAAGATTTATTATTATTGCTCGCTAGTTGATTATGCCATTGATATGAGTAAACACGATACCTAAATGTTATTGTGAATATGGTTAGTTCATAATCTTTCCTGAAAACATGAATGTTGGCTTTACATATTTACAACAACAAGAGCAAACAGAGTTTGTAAAAGTTTTTCTTTATCACTTTCAGTTTATCAACTGAATTGCTTGAGGACAAGCAAAGGTTTAAGCTTGGGGGAGTTGATACGTCTCCGTCGTATCTACTTTTCCAAACACTTTTGCCCTTGTTTTGGACTCTAACTTGCATGATTTGAATGGAACTAACCCGTACTGACGCTGTTTTCAATAGAATTGCCATGGTGTTATTTTCGTGCAGAAATAAAAGTTCTTGGAATGGCCTGAAAATCAACAGAGATTATTTCTGGAATATATAAAAAATATTGGCGAAAAGATCCATGTCAGGGGGCCCACACCCTGTCCACGAGGGTGGGGTGCGCCCCTGCCTCGTGGGCCCCCTGATGCTCCATCAACCACAACCTTGACTCCATATATTCACTTTCGGGGAGAAAAAACCAAAGAGAAGGATTCATCGCGTTTTACGATACGGAGCTGCCGCCAAGCCCTAAAATCTCTCGGGAGGGCTGATCTGGAGTCCGTTTGGGGCTCCGGAGAGGGGAATCCGTCACCATTTTCATGATGCCACCGCCGTGTGTGAGTAATTCCATTGTAGGCTTGCTGGACGGTGATGGATTGGATGAGATTTATCATGTAATCGAGTTAGTTTTGTTAGGGTTTGATCCCTAGTATCCACTATGTTCTGAGATTGATATTGCTATGACTTTGCTATGCTTAATGCTTGTCAGTAGGGCCCAAGTGCCATGATTTTAGATCTGAACCTATTATGTTTTCATCAATATATGAGAGTTCTTGATCCTATCTTGCAAGTCTATAGTTCAGCCTGGGCGTTCGGGTAATACGGTTTATTCGGTTCGGTTAGTTCGGTTTACGGGTAATACGGGTAGTTGAAAATGAGAGCCGAACTTGTGTCTGCGAGAAAAGGAACCGTACCCAAATTACCCGAAAATTTCGGTTCGGGTAATTTGGGTACCCATAACCCGAAATATTCAGACCAGCATACTGTACACAATTCAGAGTTTGAAAATTCAGTGCAACATAGCCTCACAATCACAGCAGCAAAAAAATCAGATATAACAAAAGCACAAATTTAGTCTCAGGTGATATGCAAGTGCATAGCAGAAATGCACAGTGCAAGCGCAAATTCAGTTACACAAGTGGACAACACAAGCACAGATTCATGCATTCAGCAACATGACATCAAATTTGACAATAATAGACTCACATCATTGTCTCATACTCTCATAGGTGATAGCTCCCAACACACCAGTGCACAACACAAGTCGTCCAAACACACAATAAACATGGTTCAAGCTGAATAGGTCCAAACAGTCACAAACACACACATGACACTAGTAATAGGTCCAAGCTGAGATAACCATAGCTAATATTTTAAGGGCTTAACAAGTATGAAGTATCCTTGAGGGCGAGCTGAGAGTGAGCTGAGAGTGTTCCTTAGGTTGGCGGGCTGGCGGCACACTTGATGTTCTTCTGCTATTCCCTGCAAAAGTGGAACGAAAATCACTTAAATATAGTGCAAAACAAATTAAAACAGAAATCTTGCGTAACATTAAGGTGATATGTATACGAGATCATGCATATCATTTCCACTTTCCCACCATAGTTTCGAGCATATCAAGTTGAAAACAACATGCAAGTTACAGGGGAAATCTTGCAAGAATTTTACTCACCAAGACTTATGATTCGATGTCATCAATGGTGATGTGGACACCAGCACTTGTACCGGACTTAGCATTAGCAACGCTCAGATCAGACAATTCTTGAAGTATCGCTGAAATAAATGGAGTAAGCGAGAGAATGTAAGTATGAACAAAATGGAAAGCACATATCTAAGAGTATCTTGTTTGCATAATTACCATCCTCTAGGTTGGCAAGTAGCTCTTCATTCTCTTCATTGTTAACAGGAATTTCTCTTCGCAACCAATCCTGAGTACAAATTAGTGCCTGCACCATGAATGGAGTGAGCGAGCTTCGGAACTCATCAAGAATGCGTCCACCGGTGCTAAAAGCTGACTCTGATGCGACTGTAGATATCGGGAAAGCTAGGACATCACGAGCTAAACGTGATAGCACAGGGAATCTAGATGAGTTGACCTTCCACCACTCAAGAATGTTGAATTTGCTGCTGTTTGCTTCATTATCCTCTGTAAGATACTTTTCAAGTTCAGACTTCGAAGGGCTAATGCTGATTCCACAGTCATTCATTCTCATTCTCTTTGCAATCAAGGAACTCATCAAGCTTTCGCTGCTGTCCTCTTCAAAGCTAGGTGCATCATCAGGCTGCACTTCTTGCTCAGTTGGACCATATAACTTAAAATACTCTTGGAACAGATTTGTAAGAGTTGTATTCATTTTTGTCCACACTTCCTCTCCATTGATCTGCCCAAACATTTCAAAAGTTGCAATCTTGATGTAATTTGACAACTTGTATCTTGGATCAAGAGCAACAGCCACAAAGATCAAGATGTTGAAGCTCTTGTGATCTGCCCAATACTTGTTGTACTTGTCCAGCATCCTTTCTCCCATCTCTCTCCGCAAAGGGTCTCCACTTCCACACCAAGCCCTCAGCAAGACAATGATATCAGCAATTTGATGGAAGAAGATGTGAGATGTGCAATGATTTGAGGCTGAAACACGAAGGGTAAGCTTATAGAAATGCTCAAGAAACTCTGCCATCTTTGAAGCATTATCCCAATCTTCTGGTTGAGGCACTCCTGGCATTTTGTCGCCATTTAGCTCAATTGCAAAGTATGGGTCCTCTTCTTCATACCTCACGAACACCTTCTCATATGTGGCTGCAGCTTTCAGCATTAAGAATGTGGAGTTCCATCTAGTGCATACATCAAGTGACAAGAAACCTTTATTTGCCAACTTCTCTAATTCAGCACACTTCTTGAACTTAGTAATTCTAGCTGGAGAATTCTTAACAAACTTGACTGCAGCACGGACTCGCTTCACCGAGATATCCAACTCTTTTAGCCCATCGGTAACTATCAAGTTCAGAATGTGAGCAGCACATCTCATGTGCATATATTCTCCTCTCCCTATGCTTGCATTGGCACTGTTCATGATCCTCTTTATGTAGCTTACTGCTCCATCATTTGGTGAGGCATTGTCAACTGTTACTGAAAACACCTTATCTATGCCCCACTCAACCAAACACTTCTCCAGGTCCTTCCCAATGTCTTCCCCCTTATGACCCCTCACCAAGAAAAACCCAATGATCCACTTATGCAGAACCCAGTCATTGTCAATAAAATGGGCTGTCACACACATAAAATTCTGCTTTTGGGAAGATGTCCATGTGTCGGTAGTTACACAAACTCTTTCACAAGATTCTTTGAAGAATTTCTTTAGCTTGACTTTCTCCCTATAATGAATGCGGACACAATCTCTAGTAACCGTCCTCCTGGATGGGACATTGAAACGAGGACAAGCCTTTGCCACAAACCTTCTAAATCCTGGCTTCTCAACAAATGCAAACGGAAGCTCATCCACAATTACCATTTCAGCCAAAGCATCTCTAAGCTTATCCTGATCAAATCTCCAGGTAGTGAGTGAACACTTACTAGCATCCCCCTGATTCGGAGTAGCTTGTAGAGTTGGTTGCTTGTCATCCTTGTTGCTATGAGGATTTCTCTTGCAGGTTGTCAAATGCTTCAACAAGGATGATGTACCATTCCTTTTAGAACCACAAGCAAGCTCACTTTTGCAATAGTTGCATGTTGCTGTCGTGGCATTTACTTCCTTGCTAAAATGATTCCAAACTTCCGACCGTGGAGCCATTTCCTTCCTTTTCTTGGCATTTTCTGTATTCTTCTCAGCCTCGGTCGTCTCCTTCTGCTGCTGGTCGGGGAGCTGTTGCCCATCATGACTGTCCTTCTCCAAGTTTGAAGCGTTGTAAGGGGAGGTGTCTGAATGCGAAATACGAGAACTTTGTTCTGCCATCTACAAACAACAAATGATACAACTAGTTAGCCTAACATATCAGCAATGAGAAGTGACAATTTGTTATAGAAAATATAACAGTATAAGTAAGATGAAATAAACAGTACAATATATAACATCACTCATAGTTACAGGAAAAAGTACATTTAACAGTAGAATTTAGCCTAATAGTACACTTTATCTACAACTAGTGAACTAATACACATACATCAATTTTGTTGTCTAACAGTAGAATTTAGTCTGTTGTCTAATTTAACAGTAGAATTTAGCCTAACAGTAGAATTTATATAAATAAATAGTAGAATTTATCTACAAATAGTACATTTAACAGTAGAATTTAGCCTAACAGTAGAATTTAGTCTGTTGTCTGCAACTCTGCATACACTGATACACATACATCAATTTTGTTGTCTGCATAAGGTGTCAAAACAATCTGCTATCTACATACACATAGTAGTAATTACAGTACTTGAGCATCTGAATCGGGACTCAAACTCACTATCTATATAAACGCCTACAGCCCATATACCAACAAGTCAACGAACACTTGACTACTTGAGCAATTGAGCATCTGAATCGGGACAAAGTGAAACTTGGGGAGTGACAAAGTCAAGGGACTTACCACACTCACGTTGATCACTTGCTGTTGCTGCCGTCGACCGTGCTCAGTGCGTTGACTCCGGCCGGTGGCTCGCGCGTCTCCGTCTCCACTCGATCCAGCAACTGCGGCTCCTTCGGCAGTTCGGCGCATCGCTACAGCATCATGACCTGCCCACGTGCCTCACGCCATCACGCGCCGACGCGCCATCCCGCCTCCTGCGTCACAGCCGCCGCCGCCGCCGCCGCCACTGGGGACTAGGGTTAGGACGAGAGGGAGGAGGGGTCGAGCCGTCGAGGGTTTCGTGTGACTGTGAGGGTGGGACCGTGTGAGGCTTTATACGAGCGGTGGGGAGAGGTGAGTTGGGCCTGGGCCGCGCAGCCGCATGTGTGGTGTGATCCAGTGATCGCGTGAGACGTTGCTTATATAAACTTCGGTTAATATGGTTTGTTCGGGTTTTCGAGACTAGTAACCGAACCCTTACCCGAAGACCGAACAGTCTGAAAATAAGAACCGTACCGAAGACCGATACCCGAATTAACCCACATTTCGGTTATTCCGGTTCGGTTCGGGTTCGGGTAACGGGTACGGGTACCCGAACGCCCAGGCTGATCTATAGTCACCTATTATGTGTTATGATCCGTTAACCCCGAAGTGACAATAATCGGGATACTTACCGGTGATGACCGTAGTTTGAGGAGTTCATGTACACACTATGTGTTAATGCTTTGGTCTGGTACTCTATTAAAAGGAGGCCTTAATATCCCTTAGTTTCCAATAGGACCCCGCTGCCTAGGGAGGGTAGGAAAAAAGATGTCATGCGAGCTCTTTTCCATAAGCACGTATGACTATATTCGGAATACATGCCTACATTACATTGATGAACTGGAGCTAGTTCTGTGTCACCTTATGTTATGATTGTTACATGATCGATCGCATCCAACATAATTCTCCATCACCGATCCATTGCCTACGAGCTTTTCATATATTGTTCTTTGCTTATTTACTTTTCCGTTGCTATTGTTACAATCACTACAAAACCCAAAAATATTACTTTTGCTACCATTACTTTTGCTACCGTTATCACTACTATCATATTACTTTGCTACTAAATACTTTGCTGTAGATACTAAGTTTCCAGGTGTGGTTGAATTGACTACTCAGCTGCTAATACTTGAGAATATTCTTTGGCTCCCCTTGTGTCGAATCAATAAATTTGGGTTGAATACTCTACCCTCGAAAACTGTTGCGATCCCCTATACTTGTGGGTTATCAGGGTGTGACATACAGTATGATTTTCAGTAATTATTACCGAACGGAACACCATAGACACCAATCGCAAGAGTCACTGAAAGGAATTAGGATTCATGGTTCACCTGTTAAACTGGAACTCGATCGTGAAGGCAAAAATAAAAAATCCGAACCTAACTTCCCACTTTTTGGAGCCCAGGGCTACTTCCATCTTCCATGCGAGCAATGGAGAGAGGATGACACAAACCACGACTTCTTCGGGCAGGGCGTGGCCGTGCGCCCGGGATCCACTCTGCAACCATCGGTGGAAAGCATGATGCGGCGGTAGATCATAGGAAACCATTAACTCGGCGGCTAGGCACCGGCGGCATGAGGTGAGGACGGAGGCGCGTAGGCCCACATGGTAGCGGTCAGCAAGATCAGAAGAGACGAAGATGGAAGGATTGAGAGAGTGGGGAATGAAGACAAATTCAGAACGGTGCTGGTGCACTTCTATAGTTCGCATGTAACAAGAGTGTACGTCTTCCGTGGTAGTGGAATGCGAAAGGAAGCGATCTCTCGCTTCAGTGACCAGTGGATGGGTACTCATCATGAAAGAAGGAAAAAATGAGTCAATGATTCATTGATTTGTAAGTGGATAGCTGATGTGGCTAAATTGCTTAGGTGGATAGCTTGCATGTGTAGATAAATCAGATAGTGGGGGTGAATCTCTTAGGTATACTAGATTTGTCTTTGTGATCTATTTTATTTGTCTTTTATTTTCATATCTATGAAACCAAAAATACAAAAATACCTTTCTGCAATTTATTCTTATTTATTTTATTTGGCATTTGATCTATCAATCTACTACAATTTATCCATGTCTATTTGCCAATTTGTGGCACCGTTACCCGAAAGGGATTGACAACCCCTTTAATACGTCGGGTTGCAAGTATTTGTTATTTGTGTGCAGGCGCTGTTTACGTATTATTGCTTGGTTCTTCTACTGGTTGGATAACATTGGTCTCATCACCGAGGGAAATACCTACCGTCGATGTGCTGCATCATCCCTTCCTCTTTGGGGAAATACCGACGTAGCTTCAAGCCGCATCAATAGGAATTTCTGGCACCATTGCCAGGGAAGATCATCTACATATACCAGGTTCCTAATCACAAATCTCATCTCCTCGCAATTTACATTATTTGCCATTTGCCTCTCGTTTTCCTCTCCCCCACTTCACAAAAAATGTCGTTTTAGTCGCCGTCTTTTTTGTTCGCCTTCTCTTTTGTCGGATCTATTTTTGAGTGCAATCTTGTTGCGTAGTCATCATGGCTCAAGAGAACACCAAGTTGTGTGATTTCTCAAATACCAACAACAATGATTTTATTGGCACTCCGATTGCTCCCGCCACCAGTGCGGAATCTTGTGATATTAATGCTGCTTTGCTGAATCTTGTTATGAAAGATCAATTTTCCGGTACTCCTAATGAGGATGCCACGTCCCATCTTAATACCTTCATTATGTGATATGCAAAAGAAAAAAGATGTGGATAACGATATTGTGAAGATGAAATTATTTCCGTTTTCCTTGCGTGATTCTACAAAAAATTGGTTTTCTTCTTTGCCTCGTAATAGTATCAATTCTTGGAATAAGTGCAAAGACACTTTTATCACTAAGTATTTTCCGCCTGCAAAAATTATTTCCCTTAGAACCCAGATCATGAATTTCAAGCAACTTGAACATGAGCATGTTGCACAATCTTGGGAAAGGATGAAAATGATGCTAAGGAATTGTCCAACTCATGGGTTAAATCTTTGGATGATCATACAAAAATTTTATGCGGGGTTGAATTTTGTTTCTCGTAATCTTTTAGACTCCGCCGCGGGTGGTACTTTTATGGAAATTACTTTGGGTGAAGCCACCAAATTGCTTGATAATATTATGGAAAATTATTCACAATGGCATACCGAAAGAGCTCCTACTAGTAAAAAAGTTAATTCGGTTGAAGAAATTTTTTCTTTGAGCGAAAAAGTTGATGCTCTTATGAAATTGGTTGCTAGTAAAAGTGCTCCTATTAATTTAAATGGTATGCCCTTGTCTACTTTGATTGAGCAAAATAGTGATGTCGTAGATGTGAATTTTATCTCGCGCAACAATTTCAATAACAATGCTTGTAGAGGTAATTTTAATCCTAGGCCTTTTCCTAGTAATTCCTCTAATAATTATGGTAATTCCTATGGAAATCCTTCTTATAATAATAATAGTCACACTTGTGATCTTGAGAATAATATTAAATAATTTATCAACACACAAAAAGTTTTCAACACTACCATAGAAGAAAAGTTGAATAAGATTGATGATTTGTCTAGAAGTGTTGATAGAAATTCTCATGATGTAGAATATCTCAAGATGAAATTTTTTGTGCCTGAGGTTGAGGAATCAATTAAAGCTCTTTATGTTTCTATGGATGAAAGTAAGAAAAGAACTGCTATGCTTAGAGCTAAAAGAGAACTTTTAGAAAAAGCATTTTCTAGTGATTACTTTCATAAAAGTGATGAAGATCTTAAAATGGTTGGTGTTTCTTCTATTGATTCCTTTTTTAGTAAAGTTAAGTTTGATGAAAAAGGGACTGGAGAAGAGTCAACTTTAGTTAGAAGGCGTCCCAACAATTCGGAGGGTGAAAATCTTGTTGAGAAAATTGATAAAAGTGGGTTTGAAGAGGTCAAAACTTTAACTAGTGATGTACCCACTCTTTTGGATTACGAAGACTTTAATTATGATAGTTGCTCTCTGATTGATTGTATTTCTTTTTTGCAATCCATGATAAATTCACCCCATTCTTATGAACAAAACAAAGCTTTTACTAAACATATTGTTGATGCTATGATGAAAGCTTTAGAAGAAAAGTTCAAATGTTTTGCTTCCTACAAAATTGTATGATGAATGGGAACCTACTATCAAAGTCAAGACTAAAAATTATGAGTGTTTTGCTTTGTGAGACTTGGGTGCTAATGTTTCTACAATTCCGAAATATTTATGTGATGTGCTTGGTCTTATCGATATTGAAGAATGTTCTTTAAATTTGCACTTAGCGGATTCTACTATTAAAAATCCTATGGGAAGAATTAATTATGTTCTTATTCGTACAAATAGGAATTATGTGCCCACATATTTTATTGTTCTTGATATTGATTGCAATCCGTCTTGTCCAATTATTCTTGGTAGACCGTTTTTAAGCACTACCGATGTCGTGATTGATATGAAAGAAGGCAATATTAAGTTTCAATTTCCACTCAGGAAGGGTATGGAACACTTCCCTGGAACAAGAATTAGGCCACCGTATGAATCAATCATGAGGGCATCTTATGGATCTCGAACCAAAGATGACAAAACTTAGATCCTTGCTTTATGCCTAGCTAGGGGCATGAAACAATAGCGCTTGTTGGGAGGCAACCCAATGAATATTCTTTTTTGAGTTTTTGCTTTGTGTTCTTGAGTGTTAGCACAATTATGCTACTATTATGATTGTTTCTTTATGTTTTAATTAGTTTTTGTTCCAAGTAAAGCCATTAGGATCTTCTTGGGTGATTGTTGTTTGATCTTGCTGAAAAACAGAAACTTTTGCCCTCACGAAAATAATTCTCATTTCTAACCAGAGAGAGATAAAATATGATTTCTTTTTGCAGAAGATTAATATACAAATTTCCCAGGACATCCTAATTTTTCGGAGTTTATGGAGTTACAGAACTACTTAAAATATCAAGATTGCTACAGATTGTTCTGTTTTTGACAGATTCTGTTTTCTTTGCGTTATGTGCTTGTTTTGATGATTTTATGGTTTTCTTTGATGATTTTTTTCCATGGAAAAGTTTGAATACAGCAGATAGAATGCAAGAATAAAATATGAATTGGTTTGCTATAG